AAATTGCAACTAAGATCCATTGCTAACTCACTAAAATCCAAATAAATCCAAATTAAAGACAGCAGTACAAATATTCACGAAAGAGTACATTAAATGCAATCAAAGCCCTAAATTTGAAAAAAAAAACTTATTAAAACTCGTTTATTGGATCAAAAACAAGATTGAGGGATCGAAATCGGATACCAAGCGCGAGATCCAGGGCCGTAGTTCTTGGGGTGCGAGTTCCAAACGTTGGAGTGTCCCATCTTTGCTCCCTCTCCCTCTCTCCCTTTCTCCCTTTCTCGAAGAAATCTCACAGCGGCGCTCTAAGCTTTTGATCCGAGATTTCTAAATGCGGCGCAAGCCTAGGTTTTAATAGTTCTGGAAACCCTAACTTCTCAAATTGGGCACCGTTTCAACAGGGTCCATCCCGTGGGCCTAACAAACGTTTTCTCAAATCTAATTCCAGGCCCAGACAGTGCTTCAGACCCCTAAATATCCGAACGGGCCAATGTCGTTGGGCTAATAAAAGCTTTCACAAATCTATTTTAGGCCCAAATCCTGCTCCAATCTGCTAAATACCATTTAACCCCCTTAACTTTAAACCATTAACGGATCACCCCCATAACTTTGAAAATATTAGAAAATCCCGCCCCTTTAACTTTAGGGTTTATCATAAAACTGTCTTTAACATGAGATTTTATCAGAAAACGCCATAAATTTCGGATATTTAGCTTTTTTTGACAATTTAGCTAAGAGGATTATTTAGCTATCAAAGTTAAGAGGATTATTTACCTAAACAATTTAGCTAATTTAGTTATGAGGATTATTTGACAATCATTTAAAGTTAAGAGGGGTTTTCTGATATTTAGCTTTTTTTCCCCCTTCTTTAGGTCAGGAATCAACTTTCATTGTTTATGTGTAAATGTAGTTAATTAGCTTATGGTCTGTTTGGATTTGTAGGGGGTGAAGGGAAGTTAAGGGAAACTGAGTGAAGGGAAGGGAAGGGAAATGAAGGGAATGGAAGGGAATTCCCTTCCCCTTGGTTACACCCCAATTTGAGGGGTAATAATTTTTATACTATTAGGGGGTGAACCAAGGTGAATGGAGGTGAATTAACTTCACCTCCTAAGTGTTCCCAAACAAAGTGAATAGAGGTGAATGGTTCCCCTAACTTCCCTTCACCCTCATTCCCCTCAATCCAAACAAGTCCTTAAGAATACTGCAAGCTAACCTGGACGGCTGGACACATTGAAAATATATACGTCTAAGATTCAGAATCTCTATGTATAGCTATCAAACAAAAAAAGAAAGAAAGAGGAAAAAAAAAATTTTGTCGCTCGCAAATAATTTAGCCATCAAAGTGCATGGCCTCGCTCAAGTTGGATATGTTTGTAAAATGTATTCCTTATCCCATCTTTATGTTAAACTAGACCACTGAAAAGGACATACGCCCATCCCTACTCCCCACCCCTCATCGAGTGCAAGTCCAACAGAGCACAAAAGCGGAGGAGTTAGCTGCAAGTGTAGACACCTGATAGGGATTTATATTTCAATTCTTTTGCTTTTAACATTTTAATCACGGGCTGTTTGGATAGGTTTTTTTGGGTGGTAAAAGAGGAGAAAGCTGTCAAAAATGTCAGCTTCTTGGCAGCTTTCTCCCAAAATCACCTTTTTAAGGGGTGATTTTGGGGGAAAGCTGCCAAAAAGCTGACATTTTTGACAACTTTCCCCACTTTTACCACCCAAAAAAAGGAATCAAACAGCCCCTCAGGATTGTTATAAGGGAAAATTGCTTCAAGGCCCCAAAACCAAACTTTTATTGTGCCTCAGCCCCCCTTACTTTCACTAATGTGCTGCAGCCCTTCCTTTTTTAAAAAATTACGTCCAGGCCCCTCCATGTCCAAAAACCTGATTTTGCCCTCCCTTCACCTCCCTCCTCCTCCTTTGCCGTCCCTCCTTGGCCTTACCCACCGCAGCCGCCGCTCCTCCCCGCCCCCACCTCCCTCCCCTACCGCTCCTTCCTACCCCCTCCTCCACTCCCACACGCTACCTCCCCCCACCCCCACCCGTCGCCGCCAGCAGCCTCCAAGCGTCTCGCATCCTCCCCTCCGCTCAGCCTCCTCCCCCCCCACATGCGCCTCTCCCCCCCCCCCTCCACCGCCAGCGCCTTCCCGAAGCGTCGGTCGCATCCCCCCGCTCGGCCTCCCCCATCCCACACGCCCTCCCCCATCCTCCGTCCCCACCGTCCCTCCCCGCTCCGCGCCCAGCGCATTCCCCAAGCGTCGCGCATCCCTCCCCGCTCGGCCTCCCTCCCTCCCCCGCCGCCTCCCTATCCCTCCCTCCTCCGCCTCCACCCCGCCTCCCTCCCCTGCTGCACCTCCCATCCCTCCCACACCCCCCCTCCTCCCCATCACCCTCTCCCCTCCCCCGCCTTACTCCCCCGCTACACCTCCGCCCTACACCTCCCCACCCCCGCCGTCCCTCCCCATCACCCTCTCCCCTCCCCCGCCTCCCTCCCCCGCTACACCTCCCCCTACACCTCCCTCCTCCTCCTCCGGTCCCCCTCTGTCCCCTCTCCCGCTCCGTCGCCGCACCGTCATGAGGAACTTCGCGTGGGCACATTAGTAAGAGTAAACAGGTTAGCTGCAAGAGTTAACATGTTAACTGTAAGAGTTAACATCCGTTGGCATGAGAAAGGGGAGGATAAATTTAGGATTTAAGCCAGCTGACATGTCTAATCATGAGCTGGCATGTCTAATCAACTGCTGACATGAGCTGGAATCATAATGATAGGGCCTTGGGCACTTTTTTTTCAAAAAAAAAGGGCTAAAGCACATTAAAAAAATAGGAGGGGTTGGGGCACATTGAAAGTTCAAATTTGGGGCCTAGAAGCAATTTTCCCTTATAATGAGTATTATGCTTTGTAGGGAAAAGTCGCAACAAATGATGTTATTATTTTAAAATCGGAAATTAAAAGTCAAAAAATAATGGATAACTCTGTAGGATCTGAAATAGATACACTAGAACACTAGAGGGGGGTGAATAGTATTCTTTTAAATTTTAAGCAAAGTAGATTATAAATTGCAAAGAAAAATAGCAATCTCAGAAATTCATAAACACAAACACAAAGTTTTATACTGGTTCTACCAATCCGGTGTACATCCAGTCCCCAAGCAAATCCCGCTTGAGAGTTTTCACTATGATTTTGAATAAACTTACAAAATCAAAAGCAAACCTGACCAATTTGTAAGTCCCTACAAATTACAACACCAATTGACAAACACCTTGCCAATTTGCACACCAATCTCTAAACCAAGAAATTAACACCTCTCACAAACCGAGAGAACTTTTGAAGTAACAATTTTGATTCCTATAAGCCTTGATTTGTAGTGTAGTGTAGTAGTGGCTTAGGAATGATTCTAACTTCTGTAAATTGCCTAAACAATAAGTATTTGAATGATGTTCAAAGGCAATTTCAGAAACTTTTCTTTTTCTCAAAATTTGAATGTTTTACACTTGAAAAATGCACAAAGATCAAAGCTTATGGGTATGTAAGTCTCTGCATTTTTTCTAAACAAATAACCTATTTATAGCCCTTGAAAAGACAATTATTTGAACTTTAAAAACATTTAAAAACGGCTATAAACAGTCATTAATTCAAACTTTAAAATCTGAAAAAACTGTATCTGTAGTCGACTACAAGACAGAATAGTCGACTACGCTGAGTTTAAACAGACTCTGTGAAGTCGGGAAATTTCTCAGTAGTCGACTATAAAGGTCATTAGTCGACTATACTGTAATTAGACAGAAACTTAAAAAATGTATTTTGCCTTCAATAGTCGACTATAAAGTCACTTAGTCGACTATACTGTAAAATAACAGAAACTTATATTTCTGTCATAAGCTTGAGTAGTCGACTATTATTCAAATTAGTCGACTATACTGTAAACTGACAGAAACTTATATTTAGGTCGTATACATGAGTAGTCGACTACTATTCTAATTAGTCGACTACTAAGAGTAAAAAAATATGAATTAAATGTTTTGATACTCAATTATTAACTATAACTCTAATGGTTAACATAGGGGATTTCTATAGTTAACCAACACACTAAGCCTGTGTTAGTGTGTTCTAATATTTATGTGTGTGTGTGTGTGTGTGTGTGTGTGTGTGTGTGTGTGTGTGTGTGAGTGATCAAGGCTTGTACAATAATTCTAAGTAAAGAAAATATAAAATACATTATCTCATATGTTCTTCATCTTCTTCACTTCATAATGCCTTAAACTCAATTTGCACTTGTTCATATTTTGATATTAAAAGCTGCATATAAAAGTTAGTGCATTTGTATAACACACATTGTATACATTTTTATCATCAAAATAATATCATGGAGACATGATATTTAACATCCTCCCTCTTTTTGATGATAACAAATAATTTATGCATATGTATGTATTTTATAAACAAATTTAAACATTATAAAATAAACATACTTACTCCATGTATGTATTTTATAAACAAATTTAAACATTATAAAATAAACATACTTACTCCCCCTGCATATATGCATATTAGAGTCTATAACATTACATAAATCTAATATTTATACCATTTCTCCCCCTTTCTTATCAACAAAAAGAGATAAACATTTATGCTAAACATGACATTATTTCTTCAACATGAGCTAATACTTCAAACAAATCATCCAGATTATGAACATAATCCATAACTTCATTCATCCAAATATGTAGGCAAAGACTTGCCATAAAGACCAAAAGTTCCACAATGTTCATCACCATAATCTGTTTAAAATATATAGCACATATATTAACTATCCAAACAACATCATAGTAATGTAAACACATAATCAACATACTTGACATAGTAGCAACATAACACATTACATATGTCTTAATAACAACCCACAACTACATAGTTTTTGATACTTAAACATAGATAACTAACAAAAGAACATAATTGTTTTGAAACTAAACACTAAAACATCCAAATCTAATATGATGCATGCATAGACTTCTAAGGTGCTGGAGGAGGTTGATGTCCTTGAAAGTATGTGCTAAGCTTTGTGTCCAAGTCATCAAACTTCTTGATTAGCTCTTCTTGATTACTAATAATATAGGAATTCTGAGAATATAGAGCTCTTTGACCAGTTTCAAGTTCAAGAATACGTGCAGATAGTGTGTTGTATAGAGCTCTTTGACCAGTTTCAAGTTCAAGAATACGTGCAGATAGTGTGTTGTATTGCACATCTGAAAAATATGAAGGTTCTGAAGGAAATGGTGGTGGTGGTTGACTAGTAGAAGGTCCTGCTTGAGTTGAAGATTGTGAAATAT